CCCCACGTGGACCACCAAGCGGGGTGGAGTGAGCAATGCTACCATGTAATATGTCTGACTGTATTATTGTATTATCTCTCATGCTCTCGATGACTTTAATATAATGCTTATATATCTCAACCGTACAATTATGCATTACTGAACCCAGAAGTAGTATTACTGAACCAGTGAGTTTAGGCAGCGGGTGGGGCTGGCACCTCACTCCCACCTCCGTGCCACTTTTAATTTAATACTACAACCCACGACACTACCAAGGCCCCTTGAGTACATGAGATATGCACCCTGTAATTAAAAACGAAGTGTGGGAAAATATGCTTTAAACCCTTATTTCCTTTTGGAACTAGATACGCTTCAGAAGACGTACTAAGAGGCTTTGTTGTCTTGATTTGGCTTGTTGTGCCAGTTATTAGGTTATAAGAAACCGAGAAGGAGCACCTTGGGAATAGGGGTAGGATTTCTATAGTGGGGCTTTCTTCTCTTAGACGGGTAAACAAAAGCCTGTAGGTCTAACCTTGTGTGTGTGTTTATCCTATAAGCCACTTCAGGTCCGTGAGCGGTGCTGCTTCAATAAAAGCCTTCGACCTGCCACATCTTGGGGCGAGAATGGGCACATTCTGGGGTGCAGCCTTCTTCGTGCTGGGGGTATCCTGTGTTTGCAGCACTGTCTTCTACAGAGAACAGCTGACTTGGTTTGAAGGCGTCTTCCTGTCTTCCATGTGCCCTATCAATGTCAGTGCCGATACCTTGTATGGAATTATGTTTGATGCAGGGAGTACCGGAACTCGAATTCATGTTTACACCTTTGTGCAGAAAATACCAGGTGAGTACAATTGCTAACCTCCAAGAGTCTCTGTAAACCCACACTTCAGCATGTCCTCCCAGAAACAAATGCTCTGACGGGGTGTGATGTGAATTTCAGAATCGTATGGCTAGTTAATGTTTGCTTCAGAGAACACTTTGGACTGTCGTTGGATGCATTTGACTTAGTTCAGTGTGGGCTGCTTGTAGTCTGAAACCCTCTAGTTGAGGGATTATAACTGACGTCTTCTTTAAGGATGGTTAATATTCCAGGGGTCGAGAATATTGAGTGTCAGGTTCAGAGCTTGGGATTGGTCTTGAAGAAGGACCACAAAAGAGTTTCACCATCTCTAAAGGAGGGGTGAGGAGAGACTGTGGTGCCAAACAACTATTTCCTAATGTCCAGTGTTCATGTAGAGCTTGGGGAAAGGTGTGAGAGCCAGATGGCCACCTCCAAGGCTGCCTGCCGCCCTCTTCCAGTACTCTTGCCAGACATTCCACATGGATCAGACAGCGTGAAACAGCTGGGAGGAATGGCAGGCTAGTCCAGCCAATTGTATGAAGAGTTACAGAGCCCATTCTAAGGAGCGGCATTTTGTAATCAGCCCTTTCTCTTCTGTTTTGTGTGACTATAGGACAGCCTCCGATTCTGGAAGGGGAAATTTTTGATTCTGTGAAGCCAGGACTTTCTGCTTTTGTAGATCAACCCAAGCAGGTGCGTTCCTTTTGATTAAACATTTAGATTCTTAATACCTTGATAACTTTACCATGCCACAGCTGTTAAATATCTCATGCTGTTCATTGATGTTGATATCCTGCGTAAGATCAGCTTTCTAGCCTCGGGTTATCTGGATAACAGTAATTCTATACCCCAGGCTCACTAGGGCTTGGATGGAAGTAGGCTAGAAAATAAGGTTTGTTCTTACAGAGGTAGCCCCGTGCTTTAATCTCTACGCATTTGTCATTTAAGGTTTCGAGCTAAAGCTTGGTTAATGTAGATGGAGAAGATAAATATCCAGCTCCATAGGGTAGGAGGTGTAGACAGAGTAACTGAGGGACGTAGACCCATTGAACTCCATGTAATTGTGCCCTGATAACAGGTACAGACCCTTGCCTGAGCTCAGACATTAAGCAAGAATCCATACTGACAAAAATCTTTGGTAATAGAAGATAAATGGAGAGTTTTAGGATGACCTTATTTCACACCTCAAATGCACTACTCTTTGTCAGAAGCCGCACTGAAATAAGAGAGAGTAAGACAGAGCGTCGAACTTTGTTAACAGACGTGAAAGTATTGTTCAATGTCACAAGCATAATGGTTAACTAAAAGAAAGCTTGGTCTTAAAATTGATTGGAGCCTTGATCTGAGAAGCTTTTTTCTCAGTGCAGTGTTATGGAGTGGCATGAAATGGTGTCTTAGTTACCTAGTGTTCCAAGAATAGAAGTGCTACATGTGGATGGCTTTGACAGACCATCTCTCACCCACCACCCCAACAGTGAAAGAGGTTAGGAGCCTGACTGCAGGCTCCTCCCCTAGGAGCAGGCTTTCTCTGTCCTCTGGCTCAGAAGGAAAGTCCGTCACTCCTCCATTTCTGCATCCTGGGGTTTTGGAGATCTCCATGTGTTTTGGCATCAATCTCACCCGTCTCTCCTTAAGCTTGCTTGTCTAAGTGCTTTTTATTATTTTTTTTGTAGTTTTTTTTAAAAATCAATTTATTGGGGCTCATACAATTCATCACAATACATAGATCAATTGTGTAAAGCACATCTATACATTTGTTGCCCTCATTATTCCCAAAATTCGCTTTCCTCTTGGGTTCCCGGAATCAGCATCTAAGCTCTTTTTATATCTCAAAGGAAATGGACTCAAGATACACCCCAAACTGATCTCACCTCATTAACATAACAAAGACTGCCCATTCCCAACCTATATTATAGCGGGGGGCACAGAGGTTAGGATTTACAGGACATATTTTTGGGAGAAATAATTCGATCTGTAACATGTGGAAAACAAGCTAGAAAATAAGGTCTTGTTGGAAGCAGCTACATTATCAGAAAGTGACATGACATTAAGAGAAGAAGATTGTGTTGTTGCTAATAATAATAATCATGATTAAGAGACAGCATGCTGTCATAATGAATGTTGCCTTAGGAAATGGTGAACTTAAAATGATTCCTCCCTCATTTCATTTCTTATAAAGATGTGTTCTACCCCAATGAAGGACATAAAAAGAATAACAGCATACTAAAAACTACACACAGCCAGCATGTACGTGGCATCTACACACAGAGGCTCTGCCTCACCTAATGCTGAAAAGTTTTTTGGTGGTATTTTTTGTTGTTAAGTGCTGTTGAGTTGGTTCCTACTCATAACAACCCTATGTACAATAGAATGGTCCAGCACCATCCTCAGCACTGTTCTTATGTTTGAGCCCATTGTTGGAGCCACTATGTCAATCCATTTGTTGAGTCTTTGTCTTTTTCACTGCCTTTCTACTTTACCAAGTATGATGTCCTTCTCCAGGGGACTGGTCTCTGCTGATAACATGTTCAAAGTACTTGAGACCAAGTCTCATCATCCTAGCTTCTTTCTTTTTTTAAATCCTTTTATTGGGGGCTTGCCACAGTTTCCGAGTAGGGAAAATGAACAAAGAACCAAACAGATACCCACACCCACAGAGACAATACAGGCCTACAGCACAAAATAGACACAGACAGAGACAGTGCAAAACTGCAGCCCTGACGGACCACAGCGCTTCATTTTTATTTACTAAATACTGGCAGTGTTCCCAGAGAAGTTCGCTATTCCCATGATTAAATTCCTCACAGCTTTGAGAGAGTTCCGTATCTAAGCCCGTACTGCTCTTGTTTACTGCTCCCAGGGAACACTGTATGCAGCTGTTCCCCAAATTTCTTACTGTTTGCACTTGAAGGACATCCTGCGCCTGTGTGCAAGCTGCCAGGGAAATGAGGAAGCAGTTTATGAGAACCAGCTAGGACAGACGTGTTTGCCCACTGTCCTAGACCGACACATGACATGGAACACAGTCTTCCTTACATGGCTCTTTCAGGGGCTTGTACAACTCTTATCACAATCCATCCATCTATCCATTGTGTCAAGCACATTTGTACATCCTAGCTTCTAACAAGTATCCTGGCTATACTTCTAAGACAGATTTGTTGTTCTTTTGGTAGTCCATGGTATTTCCAATATTCCTCTCCAGCATCATAATTCAAATGCATAGATTCTCCTTTGGGCTTCCTTATTCAATGTCCAACTTTCACATATATATGAGGCAATTGAAAATAGTATGGCTAAACAATCTGGAGGCAAAAACGGGAATGAGGGTTCTGCAGGGACATGGGAGAAGGGGAAGTAGGGGGAAAGGAAGTGGTGTTAACAAACCCAGGGACAAGGGAAGAACAACTGATCCAAATCAATTGTGAGGCGGGTGTAGGAAGCCTGGTAGGGCTTGATCAAGGGCAATGTAAACAAGAAGAATTACTGAAACCCAAATGAAGGCCGAACATGATAGTGGGACAAGAGGAAAGTAAAAGGAAATAGAGGAAAGAGCTAGGAGGCAAAGGGCATTTATAGAGGTCTAAATATGGGCATGTACATATGTAAGTATATATATGATGACGGGGAAATAAATCTATGGGCATATATGTGCATATATTTATAGGTTTAGTATTAAGGCAGCAGATGGACATTGGGCCTCTACTAAGGTGACCAGATTTTAACATTGGTAAAGCGGGACACCATTGATAAAACTCATATCCTGGTGAAATAGCCCACATGGCAGCTTAAAACCGTATACCTTAGCTTGTTGTTCATTCTTTCCAAAAATTGGGACTTTTTAAAAATGCCGCGGGACGTGGGAAAACTTGTTAAAAATCGGGACTGTCCCGCCAAAAGCGGGACATCTGGTCACCTTAGCCTCTACTCAAGTACTCCCTCAATGCAAGAACACTTTGTTCTATTAAACTGGCATGCCATGATGCTCCCCTTCCCAATACGATTGCTAACGACAAAGCGGGTGTATAAACAAATGTGGTAAAGAAAGCTGATGGTGCCAGGCTATCAAAAGATACAGCATCTGGGGTCTTAAAGGCTTGAAGATAAACAAGTGGCCATCTAGCTGAGAAGCAACAAAGCCCACATGGAAGAAGCACATCAGCCTGTGTGATCATGAAGTGTCGATAGGATCAGGTATCAGGCATCAAAGAACAAAATATCATATCATTGTGAATGAGGGGGAGTGTGGAGTGGAGACCCAAAGCCCATCTGTAGGCAACTGGACATTCTCTTACAGAAGGGTCGGGGAGAGAAGATGAGCCACTTAGGGTGCAATATAGCACCGATGAAACATACAGCTTTCCTCTATTTCCTTAATGCTTCCTCCCCACCACTATCATGATCCCAATTCTACCTTACAAATCTGGCTAGACCAGAGGATATACACTGATACAGATAAGAACTGGAAACACAGGAAATCCAGGACAGATAAACCCCTCAGGACCAATAATGAGACTAGCTATACCAGGAGGGGAAGGGGAAGGTGGGGGAGAAAGGAGGAACCGATCACAATGATTTACATATAACCCTCTCCCTGGGGGATGGACAACAAAAAAGTGGGTGAAGAGAGACATCGGACAGTGTAAGACATGAAAAAAATGTATAAATTATCAAGGATTTGTGAGGGAGGGAGGGCAAAAAATGAGGAGCTGATACCAAGGGCTCAAGTAGAAAGCAAGTGTTTTGAGAATGATGATGGCAACAAATGTGCTTAACACAAGGGATCGATGTATGGATTGTGATAAGAGTTATACGAGCCCCCAATAAAATGATTTAAAAAAAAAGAAGAAAATAGTATGGCTTGGGTTAGGTACACTTCAGTCCTCAAAGTAACATCCTTGTTCTCTAACATTTTAAAAAGGCCTTGTATAGTAGATTTACCCAATGCAATGTGTCCTTCGATCTCTTGACTGCTACTTACATGAGAATTGCTTGTGGATCCAACCAAGATGAAACCCTTGACGACGTCACCTTCAACCTTTGTTCCGTTCATCATGCCATTACCTTTTGGACTAGTTGGGTGGCTTTCGGTCTTTACACTGAGCTGTCATCCAGACTGAAGACTAATTCTTGACTGCAGGTGCTTCGAGGCTTCTCTTTCAGCAACCAAGGTGGTGGTGTCCGCATCTCACAGGTTGTTAGGGAGCCTTCCTCCAACCCTGATGCCATACTCTTCTTCATATAGTCCAGCTTCTCTGATTATTTTGCTCAGCATACAGTTTGAATAAGTATGTTGAGTGGATACACCCTGATACCTTTCTTGATTTTAAATCAGGCAATATTCCCTTGTTCTCTTCTTACAACTGCCTTTCGATCCATGTACAGTATCTGCATGAGCACAATGAAATGTTCTGGGATTCCCATTCTTCTCAAGATGCAACATAGTTTATCATGATCTATGCAGTCAAATGCTTTTGCAGTCAATAAAACATACGTAAACATCTTTCTGGTATTCTTGTTTACCACCAAGATCCACCTGACGTCAGCAATGAGATTCCTTGCAGTACTTCCTCTTCTGAATCCGACCGGAACTTCTGGCAGTTCTGTGTACTGCTGCAACAGTTGTTGAATGATCTTAAGCAAAATTTTATTTGCATGTGATATCAGTGATATTCTTCTATAAATTATACATTCTGTTCTGTTGGGGGATGGGCACAAATATGGATCTCTTCCAGGTAGATGTCTTCCAAATTTATTTCCATATTTCTTGGCATAGATGAGTGAGTGCTTCCAGTGCTTCATTCGTTTGATGAAATATTTCTTTTGATATTCCATCGATTCCTAGGGCTTTGTTTTTAGCTACTGTCTTCAGTGCAGCTTGGACTTCTTTCAGTAACACTAGTTCTTGCTCCTATGCTGCCTCTTGAAATGGTTGGATGTCGTCGTTCTTTTTGGTACAGTGATTCTGTGTTTTCTTTCCATCTGCTTTTGATGCTTCTGTATCCTTCAATATTTTGCCCATAGGATCTTTTCAGTACTGCAACCTGAACCTTGCATTTTTTTCTTCAATTCTTTCAGTTTAAGTTCTGCTAAGCATGTTTTTCCTTTTTGGTTTTTTAACTCTAGGTTGTTGCACATTTTAAAAAATAATCAGTTTATTAAGGGCTCTTACAGCTCTTATAACATTCCACACATCAATTGTATCAAGCATATTTGTACATATGTTGCCATCATTATCTCCAAAACATTTTCTACTTGAGCCCTTGGTGTAAGGTCTTCTTTTTATCCCCTCCCTCCCTACCACATACCCTCGTGAATCCTTGAACAATTATATATTATTATAATATTTTATTTTTTCTTCTTAGAGCTGCCATTTGAGATTTTTCTATCAAGCTTTTTGACTTCATTTTTTTTTTCCATTTGCCTTAGCTTCTCTATGATTCAAAGCATGATTTTCAGAGTCTCTCCGACATCCACTTTGATCTTTGCCTTCTTTCCTGTCTTTTAATGACCTTTTGCTATTTTCACGTATGGTGTTCCTGATGTCATCCCACAGCTCATCAGGTCCTCTGCCTTAATTTTCAATGTGTCAAATCTGTTCTTGAGATGTTCTCAATATTCGGGTGGAATATATGTGGGAGAGCATGAGTCTGGTTGTATGAGGGGGGTATATCCCATCTCACAGTGGCAGAAACTAGACTTGGAAGGACAGGTGACCACAGTGCTAGCAGACAGATCTTCTGACTGCACTCCGCCTTTCCTTCACAGTACCTAACTTTTTGGTCTAACGCTAATCTATATGAGACCAAAAATTATAATAAACTAAAATGATTAAACTTTAAGAGACTAGTTTTTATTATGATTTCACCAGAATGAAAGTTTTATTCAGAATAACTTGATTCTCTGGTTTCTGCTTCTGCACAACAGCCAAGATTTTGGGGTCTGTAGAGCTCCTAAAGCATATTGGGTGGGTGTAGAACAACATCACTCAGTGGATTCTTCCTTGGATGAGCAGGCTCTCTCTTTTGAAGGGTGCTGAGACTGTCCAAGGACTCTTAGAGGTGGCCAAAGACTCGGTCCCTCGAAGTCACTGGAAAAGGACCCCGGTGGTCTTGAAGGCCACAGCTGGACTGCGTTTACTGCCAGAGCACAAAGCCCAGGCTCTGCTCTTCGAGGTAATGTCTGAAACTTCTGTGTCTGTTTTCCTATGGATTTCTTAAATGAGTGGCGACCCCTTAAGTCTGGGACTGTTACTCTCAATATTTCACCACTGTTAAAGAATTATGGTGATAAGGAGCCTTTGCCCTAATTAGTTACTTTTCATTTTAAATATTACTCTTGAATTTATAGAACTCCATTTCCTAAATATTTAAAATATTTACTACCTTTAATATCTTTAATTCTCTTAACTTGTTAAAGCAGCATCATGTAATTGATTTTCATTAACTTTACTGGGGTACAGTGGACATACATCAAAATGTTCTCATTTTAAGTGTCCCATTCAATGAGTTTTGAGAACTATAGTTTCTTCATGCCCTATCCCTGAAATCAGGTAACAAATCTGCTTTCTGTCATAGCTTAGTTTTTGTTTGTTTTTACATTGTTTATGCATGGGGCCATATAGTTTGTATTATTCTTTGTGGATATATTTGTCTCAGCATAGCATTTAAAAAAATTCTTATTTAGTCATATCTTATACCTTAGACTGTATATGTTCCCCTACAATTCTGTTATTTTTTCCCCTTGAGTGGGTTATACAGTTGAGTTAGTTAATTGTGCCAGCCTGGCCAATAATCACATGTGGTGCTGGTTGAAAGGCGGAGGGATAAATGGGTGGTGAAGCCTCGCCTTTCTAGTTCTCGGGTCTCTTGTTTTGTGATGGTTG